CTGTGGGAACGGATGCGTTCGATGCGTGTGGGATTTGTATTACGAAGAGCTTGAGGGGTATAACAAGCTTTACAAATCCAATTCCAAGAATTCAATATCCAAATCTTCTTGATTTCTTCTTTCGAATATGCGAATTCCTGTAAACAATTGATAATAGGATTGTGCTCTTTTGTTCCATATTTACTGTTTTGTTTTGTAGTTTAATACAATAAAAAAATAGAAAAACCTTGATATTAAAGGACAATTTTCTATTAATCACGGGTGTCCTGCAATATCGAACTAACAAGTTAATCTGAACAAATTCTTGTATTCAACATTGCAAGTTAAATTTTATTTTTACTCATCTTTCAGTATATAAGTGTTTTTTTTATTATGTAAATAATTTAAGTAACGTAATGATTATCAAAACTGACTTAAGCTAGTGGGAGTATAGTTTTTGTTTGGCAACTCGGAAGTAAGGTAGCTTTAGTGAAGTCAAGCAGAAGTACTAGAGTATGTGGCAAATGTCGGCATATCAGTGCAGGTAGTTAATGACTGAGGTCTCTTAGTCAACTACCTGAACAGAGATGCTGGATTTGAATAGTATGGTATATAGATGAGATATGAGATAAAAGATAAAAAATAATTATTTTTTATCATATAATCAATATAAAAAAAATGTTTTTCTAACATGTGTCATGTATCTTAAAGAATACAAATTAAAAATATTTTTTTAATATTAATTAATATGAAAAAATATTAATTACACTCTTATAAAACAAAATTAGATAAATCCTTGCAAGCTAATACAATTGTTACTTGTTGCATCTTCAACCTTATGCTGTGGAGCTTGGTTACAACTGCCGGACAGTCCCATCATACGGCCCAGAATTCAATCAGATATTAATGGGCCAGTCTTGAAAAAATCCACAATGGATGCCCAGTAGATGACTCTAATGGGCTACTTCATTGTTTTAGTAATATTGGGGCAAGCAAAGTCTAACTCAACAAACTTTTTGTTTTTAGTAGCACTGGATGGGGATTGAAACTCATCCTTGAAGAACATGCACCTTCGCAATTTAAATAATATATCTCTTTGATGTTGACAAAAGAAAAATAAAATTACTACTAAGCTTGAAGAAAACTATAGCAATAAACCTTATCCATTGATAACCCAAAAAAACAAAAGGTATCTGTTGATTTTTTTTACAAAAGATGTCTCCCCAAAAGAAAATCATTGTAGTCAGAAATGATGGGGGAGGTATTAATATGAAATTATATTATTCTAATTGCCAATTGGGATTTGATTGGGTGGGTTTGAGTTGCAGAAAGGGAAGGCAGATCTCAATTTTTATGTTGGGTGGGTTTGAGATTATTAAGACAGAGCAAAGACACGGCCATTAAAATTTGTTCAGATCCAACATAGACCAGAATACAGGGGCTATGAACTTCGAGGGCCCCCTAGGATGTTGAGGAGGGCATGTCAGGAGCAGGCAGCATTGTACTTGTTTGAAAGACCTGTTTGCAGAAATGGGGCTACAGTGTTTTTTCGTACTTTTTTTGGATCCTTTACTTTACAGGGTTTATGAGGAATGCTAGCTGCACTCGCCTTTCTCCAGCGCTCTCCAACACTCTCTCATGTAAAATGTCCACGTAACAAAATTTGGCTCGCAATTCAAAGTTTCCACCTAGAAAAGTTCACGTGGCTATTTTAGA